TTTCTTCAACTGAAAATGAAAGGTACCCCTACACCAAAAAATATTACCAAAGATTAAAAAGGACACGACATAGACTCGTGTAATGATATGGAGATTATACCATTAAGCGAAATTTTAGGGGCTCTATATAAATCAATGAAACAGCCAACACCTTAAACGAAATAGAGTTAATACATCTCATATAACTTATTTTTTTGTAGTCTTGAAATTCTGCTTATATACGAAAAATAAATAAATTTTACAGTAGAAGCAGACCTACAATACTAAAAAAAAAAATTAACTTAACTTGGTCATGGAGATGTCTTTCAAATACTCCAAAGAGTCTATTTTACATAGCTAAAAAATAAGTCGAATAACATTTTATCTTTTCAATCATAACTCAGCTCCAGTCTTCCATTCTCATTTCATGAATTTCGTTAGGCAAAATGACGATTATAAAACCAAAATAGAAGTTAGATTAATTTGTTGTGATGAATGTGGTGGAAAGAATAACGAATAGGTAACTTTATTGAGATTTTGCATAATTTAAAAGAGAATATAGCGTTTTGCCTAACATTACATTGTATAAACGAACAAACGGATTCAAAAATGCCTTTCATAGTGGAATTTTCATTAGGTGCAGACTCCAAATTCGCATATTACATGACTTGCTGTAGCACTGTTAAGAAATAATTTGCTATAGTGCAAAATCGACATGTGGACCACATCATGACATATTTATATGCAATGTGGCTGGCATAATAGTTTGCCATATATTTTATTCAATTTTTGTATGTGAATGACTCTTGCAGTAATGCTCAGGAATTTTCATTATCATTTTACCAATCAGCTTAGTGCATCGATAAATAGGAAGCATATTTCAAGATATTATCATAAGAGATCTTATAGAATTGGTTCCCCTCGATATAAAAGGTACTATGATATTCGTTATCATTACCCTTAAATAACTCACCTATCCATCGCCTGGCGTACTTTTGGTCTCGCCATGTCAAATCGACGGACGTAGATACGTGGCACAAGCCGAGGTAGTGAGGGCGCCAGTGAACGTCCGAGGCGGCGAACTAAACCAGCCCCAGTCAAATTCGCAGGTGTCAAAACTGGTTCACGACTTGAGGTTGTGGCTACAAATGAACTTGATCTAACAGCAATGGATGAAGGCAGGGTATGAGGAGACATAGCCATCACAAGCAGAGTGAGTGTTAGATCTGGTCGGCCAATCTGTCGAGCCAAGCCGGCAAGTTCACGATAAACAGGATTGCCTTGTCTGAATGAAACAAGGTAGGAATACGATTCAAAAGTATGTAAATTATGAATAGAATAATAAGATGTTGAAACAGTCTGCATGGCTGACTACATGCCAAAGAAAAGCAGGTAAACATGCAGTTTTCAATATAGATACAAATAATATTGAATACTGCAAAAGGTTCGTTGGTATCCACTGCAGCTCACAACTAAAGAGTGCATATAAAATTAGAGATAATTTACTGTGAAAAAGTAAGGTATTTTTAGTATACAACTAAATAGATAATTCGATACCTTACCACGTTTTAAACGTAACAAAATAAAAATGAGACCGGTCTTATGTCAAACTGTATCATGATTATTAGAATTATTATATTAAATAAATAAAGGAAGACTATTTTGCTTGAATTTGGTTGTTAGAGATGGCTAAGAAAAAACATCCGAAATTTCGTTAAAATAAGGTAAACCCAGTAAAGTTCGAGTAAATATCATACCGGATACATGTCTTTACGCTGGAAGTGACAACGCGTGTAGTCTCTGGCAAGCTCCATTACAGGATAATGCAAATATCTCTCAAAACTCTATAATGCAGAAAGACCACCACCACTCGCCCCAAATAATATACCGCAAATTACTGACCTATCACATTCTTGCAAGTTATAGACAAACCTACTATTGAGGTTAATTGAATTTTACCTCAATGCAACCATCCGGTGCCAATCAGAAGTAAACAGTTACATATTATGATGTCGTAAGAAGGAAAAAGCCCTAGCAGAACGGACTTTATCCAAAACACCATCATCCTAGTGACAAGGATTTGATCTCATAAATCGCTTCTACAATAGCGCCTTGTCTCATTGAATCTAACGTGGACAGTCTTGACGCTGGGAGGCAAGAATATGCAGGCCCCCGTTACAGCATCGTATCACAAACCAAACCAGCTCCCCTACCATCCCAGACTTAGGATGACGGTCATTGCACATAGCTTATAACGTGTTTAGAATGATTCGCCATCCTCCCTTCGCGTTCACTTTTTCATCGTGGCAATAGATTGGATCTCCGCATAAATAGTATCGAGTTCACACAGCTGCTATATTAAAAACAAAGTGTACAGGAGTTAACTTACTCCTCAACAGCGAAAAGGCTTCACCCAGACCGTCTCCGCATTGCCCTTCTATACGAAATCCCATTAAAGTGTTTCTTTCACTAAGCTACACAAATCTATATCACCATCTCAAATGACCAATTTAAACCACATTTCCATGTTCGCCACTATATCATTTCAATAAACATAAACTGTATTTTAATAGAATCACAAATATACGCACTTTTTGATTCTATGAAAACTTCTACTCTACATTCTTTCAACTTATATCTTACCATTCACAAATCAAGTCCTCATAACCTATCCTCATAGATTCTGGTCAGATATAAGATAGGCTTGATAAAAGAAATGACGATGAAGCCCATATTTTGATAACATAAATACACAAGATAATCGAAGAGAAAAGGAAATAACTTGAAATTTTCACTTTAAAGAAAACAAAAAAATTCCATTAAGAATGTAAAATTATAAAGAAGTAATTGGAAAAATAAAGATGTGCTTCAAATACACAGTCGTTCTAAGAAATCAAAGGAAAGTATGAAGAATGAAATTAAGTAAAAAGGGAATAAAAATGTGAATCCCTAAAACTGATTAATCATAGAAAGATTTAGATAAGAGCAAAAGCCTATTCAAATTTATATTGAGAGCATTGAGGCTATAAAGTGTTGTCTATATCTGGCTGGATCAAGAAAAAGAAATAAATTGGATGAAAGCCCTTATTCTAGATCTACTGATAGTACCAAAATCTACCCACTACGAATAGACCATCTCGGACCATACACTAGATTCAGCATTGCAAATAAAGGAGGAAAATAGGAAATTAGGATAACTTTGATATGTTGATGATACATTCGTACACAAAGGTAAACCTGCACAGAAATATAACCCTCATAAAACGATTGATACTTTTCACTGAATATGATCATATCTTACCTCTTTTCGTTGGTAATGGCCTGCGTCAGGTTATTTACAAGATCGGTGCGCTCATCTTCGTTGCTTCGATCATATATGAGGCCTAAAGTGCTGACGGCAATACTCTGAACATATTCTGCAGGGCATGATAAAAAGAAAAAAAAGAAAAATGAAGTGAAAAAAAACAAAAGATATGTAAATGACAGCAATAAAACGGCATAAGTAAACACTGATAAATATTTGTAGTAAATTCGCCGGTAGCAAGCGGATTGATAAAACCGGATTATAAACAAACTCTTTAAAAATTCATTAAGGGAAAAAAATTCCTGATAAAGCTTTGGCCCAATTAAGATAGCGCCTGGCTTTTTACTTATACATTTCAGCAATACAGTTTCGGTAAAGCTTACTTTTCAATCTTGACCATATGCCTTAACGAATGATGCTGATTTATTTCTAAAGTAGATTGTATTTCCTATTTGTTAACATACATACTGGAGAATGCTAAGGAACCAGCTGCGTAGATATCCTCCAAAGT